AAAAAAAAAAAAAAAAAGGATGTTGCTGATTCTTTAGCTTTACTTGTTTTAGATAGCAGTTATAAAAGACAGTATTTTTACCCATACTTCTTATTACTTTTATTGTAAAGATAGATGTTTTTTTTTAAAATAGGTCTTTGTCAATATGAACCCATACCTCCTTCTCACCCCCATTCTAAGCCATATTCTGGAAATTTACCATTATTTTTAAAGTTTACAAAAGGTAGAGTGAAAACTAAGTCTGTTTTCTATCCTGAAAAAACATTTTTAACTAAGCCTTCGTTTTCATTTCCTGGCACCAGGAGGACTTCATATGGTCTTATCATTCCATCTAGACTCCCTCACCCAAGCAACACTAGTAATAAGGCTAGTGGCATTTGCAAAGTGGCAGCTATGTTTCTATGCCTTAGTATATCAAACCTGGAATAAAACTCTTTTGGAAGACAGGAGCTCTGGTGGCACAATAGTTAAGCATTCAGCTGATAACCAAAAATTTGGAGATTTTGAACCCATCCAGAGGTTCTGTAGGACAAAGACCTGGCAGTCTGCTTCCAGAAAGATTACAACCAAGAAAACCCTGTGGGGCAGTTCTGCTCTGTCACAGTGGTTCACTGTTGAGTTGGAATTGACTTGACAGACCCAAACAACAAACTAGTCTCAATGTAGGAAAATACTTGTTTGACTGATTCTTGTATAGCAATAGTTATGAAAAGATATTGCATGCTTTTATTTTAGTAACTATCTTTACGTGTGTGTGTGTGTGTATATATAGCCTTAATAAGCTTATGTCACAACACATTTATGGCCATGAGAATAAGGGTTCAATCTGTCAACAGAACTAGTAACTTCCTTCTCTCAACCTGATTTCTTTTCTTTATCCTCAGAATCTACTGGAGCCAAAACATGTCTAATATAGCAGCCTTGCTTCACTGAAATTATTTAGTCATCAGTGATTTGCTTTTGTTGTTGTTGTTATGTGCCATTGAGTCGTACCCGACTCATAGCGACCCCTCCTTGGGTTTCCGAGGCAGTGTCACTACGGAAGTAGATTGCCCAACCTTCCTTCTGAGGAATGATTTGCTTCTAGATGAGCCCAATTCCACCCCACCCCTACCCCCCACTTCTCTGGCTTGATGCTCCTTTACTATTTTCCTAAAGATTTAGGAAATACCTAAAAACCTACAAATATACTGTGTTACCATATTGATAACTTGTGTACATTTCTAGTTTTTCTTATGCATGTGTAATTTTTTTCCTTTACAAAAACTTAGATGACATGTTGCTCCATAGTTTTATAACCAGCATTTCACTTAATTAAACATTGTGGATATTGATCATGATACTATTATTTTTTTAACATATAACAAGGCTCAGAATTTTAAGTTTAAAAATGTAGAGTGAAACTAAGTCTTCCTTCTATCCTGAAAAATATTTTTAATGATTGTATAATGGTAAATTTAAAATTTTTATTAAGGCTATCATTTGTAATTCATTTCTAGTCGTTGGCATAAGTTGAGGATTTAGTTTTTGTCATTGTCTAGTTTTTATTTCTTTTTGCAATTTTATAAACAGTAGTTGAACAGTCTTGCAGAAACAACTTTTGAGTTAATCATGGTTTGTTTTTTTAGGAAAAAAAATCTTTTCTTCTTCTCTCTCTCTCTCTCTGTCCATCTCTCCTGATAGCCTCCTCTCTGACCTTTCTCTTTCATCATGTTTATCCTGCTTCCAGTTGTATTCATCATGCAAACGTCTACTCCTGTCCATTTGCCTTTCCCTACCACTTCTTCATGTTCTCAGATCTCCACATGAAAAGCCTCTATTCCTTCACCACATTCTCTTGTCTCTCCAGGTGACACAGTTGAAAGATTTTATCCATAATATAAATCCTTATCTTTTCTCCCTTTACCAGTGGTCCCTTTATTCTTTTGTTTTATATCTTTGGCCTTCAGAGAAAGGTTTAATCTGAAAGATAATCCTGCAGCTAAAAAATTTTACTAACTGTTATGCTTTAAGCATTGCCTTTAAATTTCACAGGTGAATTGTTGCCCATTCCTTGAAGAACTGTTTTAAAAAAAAAAAAGAAAGAAAACAGGCTAGCTGATGTTGTCTGGGGTTAGAGGGGGACTGGGTTAAAAGCTTTCAGTGAGTGAGTGCTTCAGTGATTGAGTGAGTGATTGAGGCTGCTATTTTAGGAATGTGTTTTAGTTCCAGTAGATTTTTAAAAATAAATAAATAAAAGCACTGGTGACACAGTGGTTAAGCACTTGGCTGCTAACCAAAAGGTTGGGGATTCGAATCATCTAGCTGCTCTGTGGAGATGTGGCAGTCTGCTTCAGTAAAGATTTATAGCCTTGCAAACTATGTGGGGCAGTCTGCTATCGTGTCTCTGTGATTTGAAATTGACTCAACAGCAATGCGCAGATAGAAGTATTTTTCTACCTCTTTTTACAAGTTATTAAACCTTTACTTATGTTGATGTTAGTTTATATATGATATTTTGGGCTAATGATTTAGAGGTTTGGGACCATCTGGGTCCCAAAAAATGACGAGAGTATACACATTAATCTTGTTGACCATATATTATGATATATTATGATTAGTATTGCAAGTAATATAAATTCCAATTTGTACAATTATTTGGAAAAATAATTGGGTTAAGTATTTGAAAATAGAGATGCTTGTTTTGTAAAGTTTTAAAATAGAGATAGCAAGATAACATCAAGATTTAGTTTTCTCTTTTTTTTTTTTTTGCAGGGATGAAAAATGAAGGGAAGCAGTGTTTTCTTGCAACTATTTCAGTAGGCCTTCTGAAATTTAACTAAAACATGACTGTTCTTTCTTCTGAGAACTGCTCTTCTCAGTACGAGGTATATCAAACAAATCAGCCCCTAAATGTTAGTGGTCTGCTGTTCTTGATTTTATTTGGGAAAACATTATTAAATATCCTCACACTAGGAATGAGTAGAAAAAACACCTATCAAAATTTTATGGGATATTTTTGCATTTCACTGGCATTCATTGATTTTTCCCTTTTGGTAAACATTTCCATTATATCCTATTTTGGGGATTTTGTACTTTTAGGCATCAGGCTAACTAAATACCACATCTGCCTATTAACTCAAATTATTTCTTTTACTTATGGCTTTTTGCATTATCCAGTTTTCCTGATAACTTGTATAGATTATTACCTGAATTTCTCTAAAACCACCAAACTTCCATATAAATATCAAAAATTATTTTATTTCTTTACAGTAATTTTAATTTGGGTTTCAGTCCTTGCTTATGTTATGGGAGATCCAGCCATCTACCAAAGCCTGAATGCACAGAATGCTCATTCTTATCAGTGTCCCTTCTACACCAGCATTCAGAGCTACTTGCTCTCATTTTCTATGATGATGATCTTACTTGTGGTTTTAATAACCTCTTGGCCAGAAGTTGTTGCTTTGGTACAGGCTGTTAGGATAACTTCCTATATGAATGAGGCTATCATATATTTTCCCTTTTCTTCACACTCTAGTTATACCAAGAGCTCTAAAAAAAAACTCTTGCCCAAGCTTATTATGTGTTTTCTCGGTACCTGGTTGCCATTTGTACTACTTCAAATAGTAATCCTTTTATTTAAAATACAGATTCCAGCTTATATTGAGATGAACATTCCCTGGTTGTACTTTGTCAATAGTTTTCTCATTGCTACATTTTATTGGTTTAATTGTCACAAGCTTACTTTAAACGATACCACATTACCTGAGGATCCTTTTGTGAGCTGGAAATTTTGCTTCATTCCACTTACAATACATAGTCTTGAGAAAGTTGAAAATCCTATATCTGTAATTATTTGTTAATAAGATGCCACATTAAAACTAATCAAAGCCTATGAATACAATGAGAATCATAATTTTACAAACAGGAGAGAAAAAGGACTCGGGATATATAAAATGCTTAGTTACAACATCATAACTACATAAGGTAGTGACTGAGGGTTTGATCTAAACAATTTGAAGAACTGAATATGAACTGAGCTGAAGAGCTCCCTCCAACTCCAACTTTTGTAACTTTTTAGAATGTGTTTTTTGAAGCTGTGATATTATTTGTTGAAACGTGTTTTCTTTTAAAAACAAAAGAATTCCATGAAAAGTTTTCTACCTATTTGGGAATGTTTATTACAAATATTAATTTTTTATTAATCAAACATAGAATGAGTTGACACTTGGCCATATTGATATTTGTGTGACCTGAAAAAAGTACTGGATGCAAACTATTACATAAATCTGAGACTCACTGTCAACTTTCAGATATAAACTTAATAAACATTTTTCTCAAATTCAAACCAATAAAATCAAGATCATTTTCTTACAAGAATTTTATATAAATATTTAGAGAAACAACAGCTCAGTTTGGCAAAGAAGAATGAAGAAGACCAAAGACACATGGAAACAATTAGTCCAAGGGACTGGTATACCATGTGATCCTCAGCCTAATCAACTTTGAGACCAGAAGAACTAGATGGTGCCTGGCTACCACTGTCAACCACTCAGAGGGGGATCTATGTAAGAGATCCTGGATAGAGTGGGAGAACAATGTGGAACAAAACTCAAAATCATTAAAAAAAAAAGAAAAAAGGACCAGGTTTGCTGGTCTGATAGAACTTGGTAGAACCCCTGAGACTATGGCCCCTAGCTGCCCTTCAGGTGTAGAATTGAACTCACTCCTGTGGCTTTCAGCCAAACAAAAGACAGGCATATGAGCTAAACATTTACATTAGGTAGATACACTCCATGGCTCCATGGAGGGATCAATCATGGGAGAATAGAAGGGCTGTGTATGCACAGGGACACAGCTCGGGGGCAGGAGTACATGGAGGGATAGACACAAGGAAGAGGTAACTAGGGGAGGAAGTGGGAGGAGAACTGTTGCAGTCAATGTCAGGAGACAGTGTATGTGAACTGCTGCATGGAAAGTGAATTTGCTCTGTAAACTTTCACCTAAATCACATTAAAAAAAAAAAAAAAGAATAGCTCATTTTAAATTTAGCTAATTTTTATAATATATCACTATTCTTAATACAGATATTCCTGGGAGAAAGGCTTCTGGATCGCTCACCTTACAAAATGTTGGGAGTAGTGATTAGATTTCTCTCCTGACACACCAGATTCTTTTTCAGTTGTAACTTTATGTCACACATTTACATCACATTGTAAAAGTAAAGCAGGGTACTCACCCTCGGCACTATTGACATTTTGGGTCATATAATCCTTTGTCGTGTTGTAGGGGGCTACCTTGTGCAGTATAGAGACCTGGTGATACAATGGTTAAGCCCTCAGCTGCTAACTAAAAGGTTGGTGTTTGAACTCATCAGCTGCTCTGTGGGAAAAAAGACCTGGCAATCTGCTCCCATAAAGATTATAGCCTAGGATACCCTATGAGGCACTTCTACTCTGTTATATAGCATCATTATGAGTTATAATTGACTAGACACAACATCAACCTTGTGCATTGTAGGATGTTTAGCAGCATTCCTGCCTTCTGCCCATTAGATACCAGTAGCACAACTTGTGACAATCAGAAGTCTTCAGAAAACCTACACATCTCTGGTCATCTAATTTTTTATAAGGATGCTAACTCCATTTGATGGGAAAGTAGGAGTCTCTTCAATAAATGTTTGGTGCCATCAAGTTGGTTCTGACTCATAGCGACCCTGTGTACAACAGAACAACACACTGCCTGGTCCTGCACCAGCCCCACAATCCTTGCCATACCCAAGCCCATCACTGCAGCCACTGTCAATCCATCTTGTTGAGGGCCTTCCCCTTTTCTGTTGAGCCTCCATTTTACCAAGCATGATATCCTCCAGGGAATGGTCCCTTTTGACAAGAGCAAAGTAGGTGAGATGAAGTCTAGCCATTCTCACTTCCAAGGAGCATTCTGGCTGCACTTCTTCCAGGATAGATTTGTTCATTCTTCTAGCAGTCCATGGAACTTTAAGTATTCCTTGCCAACACCACAACTCAAAAGCTCTTGTTGTTGTTGTTGTTATGTGCCTTCGAGTCAGACCTGACTCATAGCGACCCCTCCTTGGGTTTCCGAGGCAGTATCACTAGAGAAGTAGATTGCTGAGGAGTGGCTGGTGGGTTTGAACTGCTAGCCTTCTGGTTAGAAGTCAAGTGCCTTAGGCACTAGGTCTTCCTTATTCACTGTCCAGCTTTCACACATATGTTGGGGGGAGGGGGAAGCCTCACTGCCATCAAGTTGATTCCGACTCACAGTGACCCCCATTGGGTTTCCAAAGCTGTAAATCTACAGAAGTAGATTGTCCCATCTTCCTTCTGCAGAGCAGCTGGTGGGTTTGAATCACGGACCTTGTTAGCAGCCAAATGCCTTATCCATGCCACTAGAGCTCCTTACATATATACGAGCTGATTGAAAATACCATGGCTTGGGTTAAGTGCACCTTAGTCTTCAAAGAGACATTTTTGCCCTTCAACACTTTAAAGAGGTCTTGTGCAGCAGATTTGCCCAGTGCAATATGTGATCTGATTTCTTGACTGCTGCTTCCATTGGTGTTGATTGGGGAGAAAAGTAATATGAAGTCTTTGACAACTCAAATCTTTTCTCCATTTATCGTGATGCTGCTTATTAGTCCAGTTGTGAAGATTTTTGCTTTCTTTATATTGAGGTATAATCCTACTGCAGGCTGTGGTCTTTAATCTTCATCAGTAATTGCTTCAAGTTATCTTCACTTTCAGCAAGCAAGGTTGTGTCATGTGCATAATGCAGGTTGTTAACGAGTCTTCCTCTAGTCCTGATGCCAAGTTCTTCTTCATATAGTCCAGCTTCTTGGACTTTTTGCTCAGCGTACAGATTAAATTAAGTATAGGAAAGGATACAACACTGACACATACCCTTCCTGACTTTAAACCATGCATTATCTCCTTGTTCTGTTCAAACGACAGCCTCACGGTCTATGTACAGGGTTCTTATGAGCACAATTACGTGTTCTGGAATTCTCATTCTTCTCAAGGCTATCCATAATTTGTTATGATCTACACAGTCAAATGCTTTCACATAGTAAACACAAGTAAACATCTTTCTGGTATTCTTTGCTTTCAGCCAAGATCCATCTAACATCAGCAATGATATCCCTCAATCCACATTCTCTTCTCAATCCAGCTTGCATTTGTGGAAGTTTCCAGTCAATACACTGCTGCAACCAGTTTTGAATTATCCTCAGCAGAATTTTACTTGCATGTGATATTAATGGTATTGTTTAATAATTTCCACATTCTGTTGGATCACCTTTCTTTGGATTTGGTACAAATATGGATCTCTTCCAGTCAATTGGCCAGGTGGCTGTCTTCCAAATTTCCTGTCATAAATGAGTAAGTGCATCCACCATGGAATCCATTTGTAGAAACATCTCAATGGGTATTCCATTAATTCCTGGAGCCTTGTTTTTCACTGTTCCTTTGGTGTACCTTAGACTTCTTCCTTCAATACCATTGGTTCTTGATCATATGCCACCTCCTGAAACAGATGAACATCGACCAATTCTTTTTTGTACAGAAACTCTATGTATTCCATCTTCTTTTGATGTTTCCTGCATCATTCAATATTTTGCTCATAGACTCTTTCAGTATAGCAACTTGAAGCTTGACTTGTTTTCTTCAGTTCTTTCAGCTTGAGAATTGCTGAGCCTCTTCTTTCCTTTTGGTTTTCTAACTCCAGATCTTTGCCCATTTCATTATAATAATTGACTTTATCTTCTCGAGCCCCTCTTTGAAATCTTCTGTTCAGCTTTTATCTTTTCATTTCTTCCATTTGCTTTAGCTATTGTCCATTCAAGTGCAAGTTTCAGAGTCTCTTCTGACATCCATTTGGGTCTTTTCTTGCTTTTTTGCTTTTTTAATGACCTTATGGGCTTTCTTCATGTATGACGTTCTTGATGTCATCCCACAGTTAGTCTGGTTATCGGTCACTGGTGTTCAATGCATCAAATCTTTTCTTCAGGTAGTCTCTAAATTCAGGCGGGATATACTCAAGGTCCTATTTTGGCTCTTATGGAGTTGTTTTAATTGTCTTCAGCTTCAACTTGAACTTGCATATTAGCAATTGATGGTCTGTTCCACAGTCAGCTCCTGGCCTTGTTTTGGCTGAAGATGTTGAGTTTCTCCATCACCTCTACCTACAGATGTGGCCTATCTGATTCCTGTGCATTCCATCTGGTGAGGTCCATGTGTATAGCTGTTGTTTATATGGTTGAAAAAAGGTATTTGCAATGAGTAAGTCATTGCAATGTCTTGCAGAATTCTGTCATGCGATCTGCAGCATCATTTCTATCACCAAGGCCAGATTTTCCAACTACTATTGATTCTTTTTTGTTTCCAACTTCCACATTCCAATAACCAGTAATAATCAATACATCTTGATTGCATGTTTGGCCAATTTCAGGCTACAGAAGTTGGTAAAAAAATCTTCAATTTCCTCATCCTTGGCTTTGGTAGTTGGTGCATAAATTAATAGTAGTATTAACTGGCCTTTCTTGTAGGCATATGTATATTATCCTTCACTGAAAGCATTGTACTTCAGGATAGATCTTGAAACATTTTTTGTGATGATGAATGCCACACCATTCCTATTCAATTTGTCATTCTCAGTGTAGCAGATCATATGGTTGTCTGATTCAGAATGGCCAAAACCAGTCCATTTCAGCTCACTAATGCCTAAACAAGTCCAAGAGAGCCAACGTATGATCTTGAATATATCCCTCCTGAATTTAGAGATCATATAAAGAATAGATTTGATGCATTGAACACCAACGACCGAAAGCCAAATGAATTATGGGAAG